TTTCCGCGTTCTATCATATCACAGGGACCACGTGTTTATATGTGTCTCTTTTGGAAGGAGCTTTTTCGATTGGCCGGTACCGAGCTCCGTATGAGCTCCGCTTACCATCCGTAAACTGATGGGCAAACGGAGGTAGTTAACCGGAGTTTGGAGGATTACTTGAGGTGTTTTTGTGGTACCAAACCATGTCAGTGGCCTAACTGGCTAGGGTGGGCTGAGTTTTGGTTTAACACTACTTTCCACAGTTTGGCTGGCATGACACCTTTTTGTGCCTTGTATGGTCGTGAGGCTCCTATTTTATTCTGTTGGGAGGACGGTAGTTCGGCGGTGGAGGCTGTTAATCATCAGTTGCGTGACCGAAATGACATCCCTCGGGAGTTGAAGTAGCATTTGACTACTACCCAGCAGCGAATGAAGGTGTATGCAGACAAGAAGCGTCGGGATGTTCATTTTGAGGTTGGTGATTGGGCTTTCCTGAAGCTCCAACCTTATCGGTTGTGGTCGTTGGCCCGTCGACGCAATGAAAAACTAAGTCCTCGCTTCTATGGTCCCTTCTTGGTGATGGAGCGAATTGGTGAGGTTGCCTATCGTCTGCAACTTCCGTCTTTTGCCGTGTTATTTTATTCTTAAAATGCTGTGTTATCTTTCCTCGACTATGTAGCTTTTAATTATTATACCTATTAGACAATTACTTGTGTTTCTTATTAATGTATTGCTTTTAGGGCTATGCTATAGATGTATCTGTTTATTAATCAAGTCATGTAATGAGTGTAAAAGTAGATATTACATATCTCCTTTTGGGACTTTGGATGCTTAAGTGTACTGACTAGTGCATAATATACAATGATTTAGAAGCAAATAGAGATGAAAACTACTTTGCTTGCCCGCTGGAGAGAGATTTTTATGCATGCTCGGACTTGTCCAAACGTAGTTCTGGGTCTCTAAGTTGAGTTCCTGCAATCAATACTCCAACAAGCTATATCCAAGTATTTTCATGAATAATGAACTGATGAACCCCAGAAGGTGAAACTTTGATTTTATATGTTAAGAAATATTCACGCCAAAGTTTTGGCCAACCCCAAACCAAAGTTTTAGTAAAGAGGGGGTTAAAACAGACGATACCCAACACGGTTACGGGCTCCGGTCTCTTCAAAGACGGATAGTTGGCCAACCATAGGTCTCTTTGAGACATCTAGCAGGTTCTCTACAACACTACGGAAAGAGTATTTTTCCCAATAAGGCTCATTTCTGTTTGTCACAACCAGGCTCGTTTGTCTCTCGGAATTGTATTTTTTACTCACTCAATAGTGAGTATATCTCTTTGGCCCTAGGATGTGTCCTTCCAAAAGCTACAAACTCATGAACTTCTCCATCTACTTCAATAAGACTACATCCTGGTTCCTTTTCTATCCTCTTCTCTTTCATGTTGATTCTTTGCTTAACAGCTTCATCGTAGTGACTGGAGCTCCCGTAAACATTTGACATAAGCACGTAAGCACTGCTCTCACTTGGGTCCAATTCAATTACACGTTCCAATGCACGTTGAGCCATCTCAATGTTTCCATGCTTCCTACAAGCTGAGAGCAGTGATCCCCAAATAATGGCATCCGGATTTATTGGCATACTCAAAATTAGTTTTTCTGCTTCTTCAAGATGTCCAGCTTTCCCTAAAACATCCACCATGCAACTATAGTGCCTTGTTGACGGTTCAATGTTATATTTCCCTCTCATTAAAGAGAAATAGTCTCTGGCTTTATCTACCATGCCAGAATGATTACAAGCCGTGAGGACAGCAAGAAAACTGACACCATCCGGTCGAAGATCAATCGAGGACTCGAGTCTTGAGAACAGTTCAAGTGCTTCTTCCTCACAACCGTTCATTGCCAGACCCATGACCATGGAGTTCCAACAAGAAAGCCCCAATTTCGGAGCTGTCTTGAACACACTAAGAGCTTTATTAACACTTCCACATTTGCAGTACATATCTATAATTGCTGTAACAACTATGACATTCAATTCAATACCATTTTTTGTTATGTACTCATGAATCCACTCTCCTTGCCGAATCGCTCCTAACCGCCCTGAAGCGTTCAACAAGCTTACCATCGTAAATTCGCTAGCCTTGATCCCCTCCCCTTGCATTTTTCCGAAAAGCTCCAACGCCTCCACACACTTACCATTCCTAACATACCCACTAATCATAGAATTCCAAGAAACAGAATTCCTCAATGGCATCCTATCAAACAACCTCCTAGACTCACCAACTTCACCACATTTCGAAAGCCCCATTATCATCGAATTCCACGCGACCAAATCCAATTCAGAACTTTCATCAAACAGTTGGCGTGCTTCACTCAAAAACCCGCAATTTATATACATATGTATAATGGTATTTCTCACAAAGCGATCACAATCAAGTCCCAACTTTATAACCCTCCCATGAAGCTGAGCTCCAAAACAGGCCAACCCAAGTTGAGCATAAGCCTTAAAAACAGAAGGGTAAGTCAATCTTTGAGGCTCAAGTGGTGAACCAACCAACATGTCAATGAAGAGAAAAATGGCAGTTTGAGGGGTCGAGCTTCGAGAGAAGCCTCTAATGATGGTGTTCCAAATGAAGAGATTTGGGTTTTGGATTTGAGAGAAAACCATGAGAGCGTAGTTGATGTTCCCGGCTGGGGAGGCACAGAAGGCGAGAAGACGGCTAGAGGCAATGGTGTGACTGATTAGGCCGGTTTTGATGAGATGGGCGTGGATCTTTCGGAGGTCTGACATGGTGGCGCATCGCTTTTCTAGCATTGAGAGGTGGGGTTGGTCCGAGATGAATTTGGCTATGGAGGTTGGTGAAGGTGAGGGAGTGAATGTTTGTGAGCAACAAAATGGTGTCATTTTTCCTCGTCCTTCTTTCTTTCTGTGTTTTCTATTTTTTTTCCCCTCAATCCTCTATTAGTCTATTTGAGAGCGAGAGAGAGAGAGAGAGCATCTAGCCAGGTGAGTCGTGAGAAACACTACAGGGATTAAGCAAAAGAGAATTTACTTTTTTAATTTACTTTTTTAACTATTACTTTTTTAACGATTAAATTTGCAGAGAAAGCAGTTTTATGTAACGTATTCAAAATTTTTAATACAGACTTATATAAATTTGACCGTTAAAAATTTATCACCAATTGAATCCTCCATAGAGTGAATTAACCAGGCCATAACCACTGAGTTTTGAATTTCCCAAGATGAATAACTGGGATCATCAACACTAGGTTTCGTAATCGTTCCATCCAGGTAACCAAACTTCCCTTTGCCACGGATTACTGGCTGGACCGAGCGAGACCATTGAAGGAAATTTTTGCCTGTTAATTTGTGTGTGGTGATTTGAAGAGATAAGTAATCAGAGTTATTTGCAGCGAGTACGATTGTAGAGGTTGATTGTGAGGTTTTACCCTCAGAACCATCACCTCTGCTCGAACCTGAATCGGCCATGGTAGCCATTGTCTTTCTCAACTCAGCAGTAGCTTTATCAACCTGGCTCTGATACCATAAAAGCTATTGAGAGGAAAAAAACAATAAAGAAACACTACCTCTGTATTTACTTAGAAAACGTTGATTAACAAGACTCCTACTCATTACATTATATACAAAGTAGAAACAATAGGAGAGAATAAACAGCTTAACTAATCTCCTAAAAAATAGGCTCCCTTTATGCTAACAGCTAGCCTAACACGCTAGGTCTCCTAAAACTTCTAACCACCTTTCTAACAAAATCACAGATTAAGTGAGGCTCGTGGAGATAAGGCAGTGGACAGAGAGATGTACCAAAGACTTGTTGGGAAACTCATCTATCTCGCACATACTAGGCCAGATATAACTTACTCCGTCAGTATTATCAATCAGTTTATGCATGATCCGAGGGAAGTTCACCTACAGACAGTCTACCGAGTGCTTCATTACTTAAAGGCACATCCGGGGAAGGGAATTTTATTCAAAAAGGGATCTGCAATTGATCAGCAGTTTACACAGATGCAGACTATGCAGGTTCTCCAGTCGATAGGCGATCAACTTCAGGCTATTGTACCTTTCTTGGAGGAAACTTGATATCCTGGAGAAGCAAGAAACATAGTGTGGTAGCAAGGTCAAGCGCCGAAGCAGAGTTCAGAGCTATGGCAGCAGGAGTATGTGAATTATTGTGAGTCAAAATTATCCTAGAGGACTTGAAGATTCAATGGAGCAAACTGATGAAGCTATACTGTGATAACAAATCAACTATAAGTATAGCCCACAACCCAGTGCAACATGACCAGATGAAACACATAGAGATAGACAGGTACTTTATTAAAGAGAAGCTGGACAGTGGACTGATTTGTACTCCATATGTCCCGACAGGACTTCAACTTGCAGATGTGATGACAAAGGGACTTTGTAACAACATGTTTCATAAGAATGTTAGCAAGCTGGGAATGGAATATATTCACCAGCTTGAGGGGGAGTGTAGGAAATCTCGGATGAGTAATCTTAAGAGATATTTCAAGAAAGTTAGTGGAGGAAATCAGGGTTAAAATCTGTCCTTAAAGTTTAAGGGAATTAGCTATAGACTTTCCGTGTTTAGTGTAACAGAAAATTGTATATATAGACTAGAATGAATTGTAAAGTGATATACAGAATTAATAAAATTTTCAGAATCTTTTTTCTTCATCTGTCAAAAGCAAGTCTTTCCCATGCACTTTTCTCTCCCTAGGCAGACCAATTTATAGCTTTAGCAACCAATCTATATTTGAATTACAATTTCACACTACAAGTTCCTAGTTTCAATTTAGTAGACATAGAAAAAACTAAAAAGATATTTGGAAAGTGAGCAATCAATATTACTAGCTTTCTCTTTAGAAATTCCCACTCTAATCACTTTCATTGCTATCCAAGCAGATAATCACTAGCTCCCAAATGGGTAAGCTTTGGAAACAACTATTTCAGGTAAATCAAAGCTCACAAGTTTAAAATTTCATGAATCCAAAGAAAAACATCAAACACCCACATTATTCCGTTGGTTGTAAATCAATAACTTTTCACATATAAATTAGGTCAACTAAGAACAGAGCAAGACATAACCTTAAAAATTCTTTTCAAGCCTAATCACAACGCTAACAAAGAACATTAACACAAGAACATAATCAAGCAAATAAATATACCTATGAATTGAATTGAAAATCAATTCATAACTCGCAAGTCACAAATTGTTTGTCTCTCTCCCCCTCTCATCATGATATACATAATGGCTTTGAAGATATAAGATATTAGCTAGAAAGTAAATTTTCTCAGAAAGATGGAAGCATCATGGCATTAAAAACCTTTCTATCTAGTGTTGACAAAAAAAAAAAAAGAGTAAGTATTCCAAACCACCCTCTACTAATGTAGGTGTCGCAAATGCATCAAAAACTCTACTAGTGTCTAGCAACCAAAATTGCGTTTGTTCTGCTGGTTGTCAGATTCCTATGTCTTTCTTTCCCCCCTTTTCCACTAACTTATTATACCTACCAATTATGCAGCCAAGAACACATTATTCACAAGAATAACATTAGTTTATATACATATATATATGTATGTATATATATATATATAAATAAAGAAAAAAAAATCACCATTTCATCACGGGAAGTTAGAAACTAAGCCAGCAGTATTTTTCTAATCAATTTGGTCATGGAAAAACAAAAGAAACGACAATCATATAAGCAAAGTGACAATCAAAGACCAATTTTGAACAGAAGAAGTCGGATAGATAGAATAATACCAGCAGTATCCCACAAACCCAGATTCACAGCTTGACCATCAACCATGATATTGGCACTGAAATTGTCAAAAACAGTGGGAACATGATCCTGTCAACAACATGACTTGTTCAATTGAACGTAGAACCCTAAATTGAATGCAATTCAATTCACTACATCGTTTCTTAATTTCCCCCCAAATTTCACCCCAAATTTCCCCCACTGACCTATAATTTCCCCAAATCTAGCCCTAAAAACCTTGAAAATGAAGAAGAATCAGAATTCTGAAAGAGAGAGATGGAGAGAGAGTTACCGACGAAGCTTCACTCGGCCGGCCGTCAGAGCTTCAATCGTCGTCGGAGATCAACCCTAGCAGAGAGAGAAGTGAAGGAGAGAGAGAGAGAGAGAGAGAGAGAGAGAG